ATTTTATGATTTTCGATAGATGTCACTACTAGCTATTTAAGTAGTAATTAGTTACTACAAAATTTATTTATATTTATTAAATGAAATAACAAAAACCAAAAAATGTACATTAGAATTTTCGAATCAATTAAATAACTTTATAATGGAAAATGAGGCAAAATGTCTCTACTTTTTGTAGTTTCCGTTAGATCAATGTCTTGAAAAAGTTAAGGTAGAGGCACTGTCTTGAAAAAGTTAATACAACAGTAATATCGTCAATTGTCGGCTTAGTTCAATTTATTACTATATTTGGTATTATAAACTAATTTTGGGATTTATTTATAAATATTTTATTTATTTTAGTTAACGGTTAAAACTAATTTTGGGCTTTATTTATAAATATTTTATTTATTTTAATAAAACACATCAATTGTATTAAAATAGAAATGAACTGCTAAAGGAAGGAAAATACTTAACCCTCCTTTTCTGAAGTTTCGTAATCGGATAAAAAGTAGCCCCGGGTTTTTAACTACCTTTACACAAAATTTCATGGAAATCTGTTCAGTAGTTTTTGCTTGAATCTTTAATACACAGACAGACAAATATTCTAAAAAACCACTAATTTGGCTTCAGTGCCCTTTATTTAGTCCCCTGGTCTTGTTTTTTTCCAGAAAATATTAGAATTACAGACACGACTTTTCTACAGATTTATTATATGTATGTATGTATTTATGTAGATAAATATATTATGGATTTTCCTATTTATTGCAAATTTATTTAATTCATTTAATTTATCAATCGTGGATAGCAGCTTTTTTCACGGGTTATTTTGATGTGTTAATTTCATTTTGTTCCCTAATAATTTAATAATCTATATTTTCAGGTACACCGCATGTACTTGCTATTTTTAATACTGCTCTCTCCGCAGTCACATTAACGGGAGACTATATTATAATTATTAATGAAGTATGTTGATTTGTTACCTGTGATTTTAAATATTTTGGAAATTATAATAAAAACTACGTTTTAACTTTCATACAAAATAATTAATTATTCTTATTTTAGTTTATTCATGAATTATATATTTTGTTAAATATATTTTACCTATTTTATATTAATAATTTTATATTATTTACAATTTCATATAAATTTTATGTTAATTATATTTTATTTCCTATTGTATATTGTTTGATTTATTAGTACAATAAAAATACTTATAAATATGTTTTATTTCATCATTATGATTGCTTCTATTCATCTCGTCAAACGTATCTATTAAACCTATTTTTTATTATAATTTCCAAAATATTTAAAATCAAAGATAACATTAACTTATTTCATTAATTATATAGTCTCCAGTTTATTTGGATGTGAATCGCATTCTTTCACTACGCATTTACTCATTTTTTGTCGCGGACCGTCCGGCTCTACTCTGTCGGCGTCACATTGAACAATGAACTGACGTTAGCTAGGCATATGGCTGTGGCCATATGTGCAGTGGCAACGCTTTGGCGCGGTAATTACTAATCTAGTGTAATATATAAATCAATTTATATACCCCTAAAGGGCTTCATTTGGTCACTGTGTACTTGACTTTTTAATTTCGGCGACCTGATTGGTAGCACGTGGCTAGTCCGGCAGGCAACGATGACTCACTATTTCCTTAACACGAGCAAACTATAGCTAGTTTAAGTTTAATGAAGTAATATCAAACAGTTTCGAGCGATTCACACTCACAGCCATAGCTTTTCCTTCGGACTGGATTAGAACCAGACTGGTCCGAGCACTCTGCTGATATCTCTCCATAACTATGCTGACGTAACTGCGTATTCATAAATATAACGCATAATCAGGTCATCGATATTCAACGGGAAGAGAGTTGTGGAGAGAACGGACCCCCGAGTGATCGGGCATTAGCCGCAATAGGCTTGGAAGAGTTGCCTTCGACAACAATTCGGAGACCGTTCACTCAAAATGTAGAGTAGGTAGAGTATAATAGGTCGCAGGCCGAAAGCTTGCCTGAAAGGCTAGCTTGCAAGCCAAGGCCGTTAAGACACCTAGGCAATTTTTCACCCATTTTTCTGTGAAGCCTCACCCCATATGTTTCACACAAACATTAGAAGGTATTTCGACCGATTATTGTGTAACCCATAATGTCTGTTGAGGAGAACTTTCTGTTCCAAGTATGCCAATGCCATAATATGGTCGTTCAATTATATTATTCATATATTCATTCCGCATTGTATGGAGATGATTGACATTGGCCGATGATTGGCAGTGTCTACTTTTTTTGAGCTCGGACCGCACATTGCAATTGTATTTTTACTACTGCAATGTGCGGTCTGAGCTCAAAATGTACATTAACACTCATCATCATCATCATAACAGTCCTTAACAAGTCCACTGCTAAACATAGGCCTCCCTCAAGGATGGAAGGAAGAAAAGATGCCACAAAGCACGGCCCTAAGCCACCTGCATCCATCGACTTCATGCATGTCTTACAAGGTCGTCATCATCATCATCATTACAGCCCTTCACAAGTCTACTGCTGAACTTAGGCCTCCCCCAAGTAATGCCACAAAGCACGGTCCAAGCACCTGCATCCATCGACTTCCTGCATGTCTTACCAAGTCGTCACTCCATCTAGTGGGGGGTCGCCCTACACTTCGCCTACCGGTATGAGGCTGCCACTCGAGAACCTTTTTCCCCATCGGTTCTTCGAGCTATATGGCCAGCCCATTGCCACTCTAACTTACTAATCCGTTGGGCTATGTCGGTCACTCTGGTTCTACTGCGGATATCCTCATTTCTAAGTTTATCACGCAGATAAACCCCGAACATAGCCTTCTCCATAGCTTGCTGAGCGATCATTAGCGTTCTTATATGGCAAGCAGTGAAGGACCACGTCTCAGTTCCATAAGTCATCACTGGCAACACGCACTGCTTGTACAATCTAGTTTTCAGGTTTTTAGGTATACCTGACGAGAAGATGTGTAGTAGTTTCCCGAACGCTGCCCAGCCGAGTTGATACCCGTCGATTGAACCCTCGGTCGAAGTTGGACTAGTCGCACTAATTGTCCCAGGTAAACGTACTCAACAACTTCGAGCTTACTGCTCTCTACAACTACCGGCATAGGTGTGACATGGACATTAGTCATGACCTTTGTTTTGTCCATGTTCATCTTAAGACCTATCCGTTGGTAGACACTATTGAGGTCATTGAGCATAGTGCTTAAGTTCTTCAGCGATTCTGCCATAAGTACTATATCGTCGGCAAATCGAAGGTGAGTGATGTACTCGCCATTGATGTTAATACCGTATCTTTTCTAGTCCTGTAGCTTGCAAACATCTTCCAATGCAGCGTTGAAGAGTTTCGGGGATATAACGTCAGCCTGTCTTACACCTATCTGCAATTGGATAGGTTTCGTACTCTGGTTCTGTACTCGGATAGCCACCGTAGCCCTACTACACAAACACTTCAGCACTTCGATATACCGACAGGCAACTTGGCACCGCTGAAGGGACTATAGTAGACGGGGTTTAGAAGGGATATCGGTCTGTAGTTCTTCAAGAGAGCGTTTTCACCTTTCTTGAAGAACAAGACCACCGCACTTCTGCTCCACGCCTCCGGAGTAGTGCCACCATGGAGGACGGAATTGAAGAGCTCCTGAAGGACTTCAAGTACCGGTGTTCCATCCGCTCTCAGAAGCTCCGCTGTAATTCCATCCTCGCCCGGGGCAGGCCTCCGTCACTCGCTCTAGGCCACGCGTTATATCGGTCAAAAGGGCATGCGGCAGCCAATATCGGTTGTATCGCCCACGATACAACCGATATTGGGCTGCCGCATGCCCTTTTGAGCGCTTAAACCACGCACGTTTCCCGCGCTTTGCCGAAATCAAGTACCTAATTGTGCAGTGCATTGGTGTCAAAGTCAAAAAACAAATGAAAAATTGTCTTTTTTTGCGTTGACTCATGTATCAAAGTATTTATTATATAAGTGTAGCAAAAAAAAAACATAACTGCACTAGCTTCAATGCTTTGTTACAGAACCCTAATGTTGACGAAACAACACTGTATACTAATTTCTAAGCTTATAATAAATAAAGATTCATCTTTTTATGGTGGACTAAAAGTTCCACCAGGACCGTTTAATAATTATATTGAAGAATTAGAAAGAGCATTCTTAAATAATTTTGACGTCATAATGAATCGGCCTGGCAGCACTGTGTTGCAGATTTTACGAACCATTGATTTTCCTATGCTTTGCTCCTGTTTTCCCCATGATTATTTATTAAAATTATTTAGGCGATTTAGGGAAACTTCAACGATAAAATTTAGTAACCGAGAATTCAGAGAAGGAAAAAATGTATAAATCATTTTATAAAACTTAAATATATTTGATTGACTAACAAAAAATATTGATTGTATGTATTTCACAACATTCGTTTTATTACAATTATCATCATAGGTAACAACCCTAGCGCATTCGTGTGATGACGCGATTGCACGTGAGTCGCACACCCCGGGCAACACAATCTCAACTCTTTGTGCGCGTACTTATGGTACATTTTCTTCTCGCTGCGAGCAGCAGATATTATTATTAAGAGTTTGTAGGCTATTATAGCGTAGGTGTTTTCGCTTTTGTATGGGAATGATGTATCTGTTGGTAAACTATTTATTAATCTGTGCCCGGGGACTTGCCGTTTTTAAGGTGCTGGAGAGCCGTTCTAATCTCGCACAGACCGGGATATCATCGGAATAGTGTCGAATAAAACTTTCTCTTGGATCGCTTACTCACACTTGCGTGTGGCTCTGACGATGACGTACAGCTGCCCATAGAACCTCTCAATCTCACTCAAAATGTCAGGTGTCCTGGAAACGATGCTGCCACATTCGGTCTTCAGCTTCGACAGTTGGCTCTTACTGAAGAATTATACAATAAAAAATGGCGGTTGCCAACCCGCTCACCAAGCGTGGCAACTATGGCATTAAGACTATTAAACGGAATTATTTTATTTTAGCTTAAAATTTATTACCCACACGATAATTGACGAGGCAGCTCAAGCAACTGAACCGTCGTGCCTTATCCCTAAATCTGAAAAACTGATTTTGTCAGGAGACTTCAAGCAACTTGGACCTGTTGTTGTTTCGGACGCAGCCAAAAAATTTGGTCTTGGTAAACCGCTTTATTTATTCTGTAAAATTAGATTTGCCCCCTTCAACAATTGCCATTTTTAAATTAAAATAATAAATTTGACTACTCAGTTCTGTAGTGGCTAATTGTTTGGCAGCAACGATGCGGGCTGCGGGTTACAATCCTGCACAGAACAAATGTTTGCGTACAAGTGATTGTTCCGGTTCTGGATGTTTGTCCATGCAAAATTTGTTGGGGTGAAAAAATTATTCATCCCAGTATATCATAACTGTTGTAATCAATATATTTTTCCTTCTAATTTTTCTTTACATTACAACATCTACGTTAAATTCTCACCAAATCCTGGGTTGACTGGTACATAACGACTAATGACATTACTTCTGGGATTTGTATTATGTTGTAATAAGGAATGCAATAAAAAAATTGTACATGTAAACGCCTCCACGATACAGAACACATTTTAAAAGAAACAATATTCGTAGATCAAAATTTGAACAGGTACGTGTAGGCACCACATACGTTATAATTATTTTCCGCAGAGGCACCTTTAAAAGACATTTAAACACGTAACACGTAATTGTAACTATTGGTAGACTTATTACATGAATGTCGAGAGTCGAGACCCGTTTCTGGGATAATATTTTATTTCTGGTTATTTCATTCACTTGAATTTGACTTTTTTATATCTTAGCAGCTACATTACTAAATAATTGTAATTTATTATATCTTCAGGAATATCATTAATGGAGCGATTGAAGAAGACATGTCCGTTGTATGCCGAAAACAATAACAAATACATCGTTATGTTGAAAAATAACTATCGATCCGACGCTGATATAATCAAATTACCAAACTTATTATTTTACGACGGCCAACTAAAGGTAAAGTAAATGTAAACTAAACTAAAGGTCTGTTTTTGTTTACATCCAAATAAGATATCAAAACGAATAGGTACTGTAATATATTCGTATACGAATTTTTTTTCACCAAAACTGCTAGGTAATGTCCACCACATATTAAACGTTTGGCTGCAGAACTGCGAGCCATGTGTCCGAATAGCAATGTAAAAATAGTTTAGGTATCCTACTAATCCCCCCCGAACGGGTTCCCGCCTTGTCGTGGCGGGCTTGGTCTCCCACGGTGAACAAAGAGGAACCCACGTGGCTGGCCCGAGGTGAAGGGCCGGCCTGAGGTGGCCACTCAGAGTCAGCTTGGGGAGCCCACTTCGGATGTGTGCTGGTGGACTGCAGCGAGTGGGGACTCCGCACCCTCTACCGCTGCAGCCGAGGTGGAGTCGCGGAGGAAGAGGAGTGTTGGTATGGCGATGCGCCACTCGCCCTATCCTCCGCGACTCAATCGGGGCCGCACCGTTGATGCGGTGGTGATGGGGCTGCGGGGGGAGAGGATTGTCGGTATTGCGAGGCGCCGCTCTCCCTATCCTCCGCAGCCGAATTTTGGTTGGCGGCGGAGCCATAGACCACATCCGCCGCTGGGGTCGGGAAGGCTAGTACTTCTAAGTGCTCGTTTTGCCTGGCCCCATGGCCTTCGCGCATCGGACGCGGGGGCGTCTGTTGCGCAAATGCAATTGGAGGCCGTGGAGGAAGGCGTGCCATGTGTTCCGGTGCGCCTTACTTGGGAAGGAGAACGGGGAGGAATATTCCTCTCCCGAGGAGGTGCTGCCATGGGGCGGCAGTCGCTGGTAGGGCCGCGGAAGTGTGCGAAAGCGTTCCCGTAGCCCTGCCAATATGCGACGAAGGTGGAACACCATGGGGTTTTAGTCGGTGCGAGTCCGACATAACCCGTCCTTGCCCCCGCGAGGCGGGTATGCGTAGGCATTTCCCCATGTTAAAAAAAAAGGTATCCTACTAATAATTGTTACGGGTCTAGATGTGTCCATGTGCTTTTTGTGTAGTTATTAACAGTACACGACAAATTCCTAGTGTATACTTTTTTGAACAAAGAAAAACGAATTGCTGTTTATATTTGTTGTTACTAACTGTAGGCCAAAATAAATTCAAGAATTTTGTTATAAATTTTTACTCTCAAAATATATTTAAAAAAAAAAGGATTATTTCTCAGTAACAATCACGTTTTAAAATATTTTATTAGTGTCTTACCTTAAATTATTTATTTTGGTTAGTTTAAATTAATTAATTGAAAATACATTTATTTTCATTATCACAGGCAATGGCAGAAACTGATTTAATTAGCAGGACAAATATTTTATACGAAGATGAGCCATGTCGCGCAATTGTGTTCCATGGCGTGCTGTCTACTGAGAAAAAAGTTGGTGATCCCCCGAGGTTTGTATATTTTGATTATTATATTATTAACTTACTTATTATCAACTTATATAATATTTAAAATGAGAGTTTTTCGTAATGCCGCTATTATATATATATATAAAAAAAAAATCAAAAAAATATTCCAAGTACCTTACTGTACTTTCATGTACACCACTACCGCAAATTAATGAATTTCGTTGCGTTTTGGTGTTCTCTTATTGATCACACTGATTATCCAGCTAAGAACGGATTTTACAAAATTTGTTGCGGGGGCGTTAGTTAAAAGAATACTTTTTAAGTACTATATATATATATACATATATATATATATATATATATACTATATATATATATATATATTTATATATATATATGTATATATATATATATAACTTGGCCAGAATATTCTTTTTTATGTTTGAATGGGTCCTTAAATGGTATGGATTCACGACTGGCGCCTGTAGGTGGCGGTGTTGCCGATATCCAGAAATCACTCGTGCGAAGCCGGGGGTTCGCTAATAATTAGTACCGGATCTACGATTTTTTTAACAGAGGCAAAAACTTGATAATGGCGCCTCCTCTCTCCAGAATGCTGATTTTAGATAACTTGTTAAAAAAACTCCCAAATACATAATGGGTAGCATTTAGCTAATAACTTTTTCGTTTGTGTAACATAACATTATATACAGAAAACATACCTATAACTAGGAAAGAAAACAGACAATCAAAATGTTTAGGAACTTTAGGTCTCAGCATCGTTTTCTCTCAAATCTGCCTACAGATTTATACGGCGTGCTTTCTTTTCTGCGAAAGAATCTATGTCATAAAGTCTTTTCAAAGTAGTTTTAAGGCTAGGATCGCGAGGCCAGATAGATAATCCTGACTCGCTGTGAAACGCAGATAGATAGATTTCAATTATTTGCAGCTAAAGCTTCGCTCACAGCTTGCAGATGTCGTAGGTAATGTCCAGTATATTCTTAGAGCTATACTAACATAAGGAAACAGGAAGGAATGCTTAGTAGTACTAGGAAGTGATGCTTGTACAGATGTTGTAACAAGTCGAATATACTTGATTTTTTATTAATTTTGGATACTAGCTATTTAAAAAAGGGCAATGTCGTGGTAAAAATCAAATGGACAAGTCTTTCGCATATTTTTGAGCTAGATTGGCTCCATTTTTTCGCAGATCCTCAGTCGACTTATCTTAAAACGCGTGGCCACTAAGGTAGGCAAAATTTTCATCTAGACTCTGCGCTCTCTACTCTTGTTATATTCTTTTCGTGGTAGACATCGCTGCAGCTATGATATAGCTGTAGCACAAATGGGTCAGCACAACCGGGGTAGGACCACGCTCCCACAGAATACCAGCGTAAAATAGCAGCGTAATGCTGATGTGTTCCGAATGGTAAGTGTAGAGAATCGGAGACCCTTATACTCCGTCGCTCGCATTCCGTCTTAGTCCTCAAGGGTGACAATGCATAATTTTGATCCTTAGTTGAGGATAAATGTGGATGTCTATGGGTCACAGCATTCACTTACCATCAGGTGGACTTTGTGCTCGTTTGTCACCCAATCAGTGCTAGAAAAGAAAATCTGTCAAAATTTTGCCAAACACTATTTTTATATCTTTGGAAAATAAAAAATTTGGATATAGCGTTCTTGATTCTTCCTCGCAGATTTTATCGTGTTGCGTTTTCTTTATGGAGATTCGTTTGATTTTAAGGACTGGCTCGAATTCTAACTTTCCTAATAAAGGTGCAGCTTCTTTGAACCAATATTTTATTGGTTTTTCTTTCATTCCTTGCAAGATCTTAACAAGACCTTGCGTTATCGCCACAGAATGCGAAATGATAATATCCTCTTTTTGTATTTCAACGTTCACTCTACCTCTATTGATTTCTTTAAGAATATTATCCCAAAATGTTAAGTTGAAAATGCATCACCGCATGTTGTGAAAACCAGTTTCATACTTGGATTCTGCGACTAGAGAAGATTTTTCAATTTCTTCCAGAACTTTGAGAGTTTCCGGTAAATTAATAGAGCAGTAACAGCCTAGTGTTTAGCCAACCATCAGGTTTGATTACTTCCTTTTAAGTTTGTTTATGTACACTTTTGCATTTTTTCTACCGTGTGGTGGATCCAACAAAGAAATAATAAAGTTTATGTACGAGCCCAAATAGGCTAACTGGATTTAACAGTATTGATACAAATTTTGGTAGCTCTATTGGCGAAACTCTAGATTGGACTCCTATATCCATTGTCGTAAGATTTTCTACGAAATTTTTGCACATCTAAACCGTCAGCTTCTAGTCTCTCTAGAATTCGCTGTGTAGTTTATTTTCCAGTCTTTCCATCAACTTCAATAAAATCAATGAAACTTTCCTTTGTTTAACGTCCAGATTTCAATATTTTTATAAATTAAATCAACGTAACTCATTTGTTCCGTGTGAGATGACATCTGGAGAGAAATTTCCGCCTTTAAATGTTGCTAACAATTTACTGCGCTGATGCTGCTGGCAGCACATTTCGAAATGAACCCTTAGGATGTGTTCAAAAACCAACCGGGCGTTTTAACATCAAGTGAAAAATAGATAGAGCAACGTGCGTTGGATACTACACGTCTTGTGGAGCAATTTTTTTAATTATAATATAATTTTGGCGGCCCCTGAATGCCCCGTTTTGCCCCCCCCCCCTAGACCCGGGGCTGCTAATAATTTTATAAAAACATTAATTGATATAAATAAAATTCGACAAATAACACGAAAGATATCATAACGTAATAATAATAAATTTAGGACTATATCCATACCTTTAATATTATAAATGCGAAAGTGTGTTTGTTTGTCCTTCTTTCACGTCGCAACAGAGCGTCGGCATGGCATGATTTTTTGTATGGGGATAGTTCGGTGGCTGTAGAGTGACATAGTTTACTTTTTTCCGCGGAAAAACATCTCATTCCCGTTCCCGTAGGAAATATTTATTCTATTTTCCCACGAATACGACACGTGTTTCGCCTCTACACGAGGCATTTCAGGTAATGTAGACTCTACGGCGGCTGACCGCTAAGTGAGCGGCGAGCCGAAACAGCTGCTATTTATACACGCCGACACAATCGCTCCCCACCAAAGTAGCGAGTGACCGCGCCGTGTGATAACAAACCTAATTATCATTATTGTTATGATTAATATTTTTAAATAGTATTATTATTACTGTTTTATTAATATTATTATAGTTATTTATTATTATTAATCTTAAAATCATTATTAAAGATTGGCCTTAAAGATGTTTAACAAAGGTGAATTAGAAACATTTGTTTGTTCATTCAGCAGTGCATAATTACCATTATTACTTTTTAAAATCTCCAACTGCTCCAGCACACACAGTCGCAGCCCCTTACTACAAGTATGTAAGACTTCAAAGGAATGGTCGCTAGCTAGGTTGTGTCCAGTGTCCAAGAGATGTTTAGCAAAATGGGATTTATTAGGATTGCAATTTCTGTACGCGGCCAAATGCTCTTTATAGCGCGTCCCGAAATTGCGACCAGTCTGACCCATGTAAACAGCGTGGCATTCGTCACAAACAAGTTTACAAACACCCGATTTTTGACTAATATTTAACTTATCTTTAATATTACAAATATTCCTAAGCGAATTGTTTGTTTTGAATGCCACGTTAACGCCGTTTTTCTTAAGAGTATTAGCTATTTTTCCGATATGGAGCCTAAGTAGGTCAAACTATCCACATATCGCCCGACGGTTTGAGATTGAACCGCGTACAAAGAATTGCGAACAACATGCTTTTGTTTCTTTTTAATAAGATAGAGACTTCTTGAAAAACCGTTAGAGACTGCGATTTGATAAATTATATTAAGTTCTTTTAAATAATTTTCTTTACTTATTGGAACAGTGAACAGACGGTTAATGTAACAATAAAAAGCAGCTAATTTATGTTGCCATGGATGACACGATGACGCGGGGATGACCATGTAGGTATGAGTTGGCTTTCGATAAATTTGAAAAACATGCAACGACTCTTTTCTTGTTATTGTTAATTAAGTTCTTAGTAAGCCTTAGTAATATTTTTTGAGCGAAAATGAATACAGTTCTTATATGTGGTTATGAATGAATCGGTATTACAATAAGAAAAATTATGCAAAATTATAAGAAAAATATTTTTAAGAGCTCTTATTAGCTAACGTATACATAGTTTAAATTGATTCTGCTAGATGTCGTTACTAGGTTTTTAAAACGTGGTAACGAAATATTTCCTGACATGTACTTAACTCCCGCCGTTGAGCCGTGCGTCAACTTATAGTGCATACGGTACCTATACGCTTAAATTGTTTCTATTTCGTAGCTTTTTCGACTACCTGCTTTCGATTTCGGTTGTTTGTTATTTGCTTTGTGATTTGGTTAAGGTTGAATGGATTTATATTGGCTTTCATTTTCGGATTTGTGTATTTTCTTGGATCGGTTTCGTTGATTTGGTTGGTATTCCTTTATACATATTTAGACTCTGGCTTTGATTTTGAATTTTGTTTATTTAGAATCGTGAATTGGTTTTCGTTGTTTTAGCTTGTTTAACAATATTTCAAAGGAATATTAATAGTATAGATAGTGTATACGGTACCTATACACTTACTTCTTTTTTCGTTGGTTATATTTATATTGGCTACTGCTTTCGATTTCGGTTTTCTGCGATTAGTTTTATGATTTGGTTTAAGTTGATTCGATTTTTTTTGGCTATCGTTTTTAGATTCGTGTTGTGTCTTGAATTGGTTTTGTTGTTTTGATTTTAAAAAATATTAAAAAATAATGTTTATTCCTTTGAGATATTTTGGATTTGCTTTTAAAAAAAATTTAAAAGGAAATTTAATTCCTTTTAAGTATTTTAACGTAAATAGGTTTTTTGTTACTTCATAATGCCTCGCAAACGTAAGTCCAGCCTTTCAAGAGTATCTTCTAAAAGACAAGCGAAAAGATTAGCTCGATCGCTAGAATCTTTAGAAGATGCTGAACTGAGAAGGCAAGAACAAGCAGAGCGTCAGGCTGCTTTTAGAGCGAGCATCTGAGACACCTTCTCAACGTCAGCAAAGGCGTCGTGAACAGACAGAGCGTCAGGCTGCTTTAAGAGCTTCCGAAACACATTCTTAAAGTCAGGAAAGGCGTCTTGAACACGCAGAGCGTCAAGCTACTTTAAGAGCTTCTGAAACACCTTCTCAAAGTCAGCGAAGGCGTCTTGAACAGGCAGAGCGTCAAGCTACTTTAAGAGCTACCGAAACACCTGATCAAAGTCAGCAAAGGCTATTCGAACAAGCGGAACGTCAGGCCGCCTTAAGAGCCGCGGAAACACCTGATGAAACTCAACACAGACTCATTGAGCAAGCTGAACGTCAATCTACTATAAGGGCATCTGAAACACCAGAACAGACACAGGAGCAAAGAAATGCAAATGCACAGCTCCAAGCTGAACGTCGACAAAATTTTCAAAGAAACAATTGGTCGGTTTTTAATGACGCAGCATTCAATTATGATCCGTTGATTGATTATAAAAATCACAGGTTAGTTGTTATCGGACTGATGGACAAGGCGTGTCGATTTTGCAGCGCTTTAAAATGGAAAGATGAGACCGCAGGCATGTGCTGTTCCAATGGCAAAGTGTCTCTTCCGTTACTTGGGGAACCAGAAGAACTTTTGAAAACTCTCTTTTTATATGATGCTAATGAGTCACGGCGCTTTTAAACAGGATCGGGAAATATAACTCATGCTTTCAAATGACGTCCTTCGGAGTTGACCGGGAAATAATAATGCCGGGATTTTCGCCTACATGTACGGTGCAAGGGCTAATTTATCATAGAATAGGTTCATTTCCAGCTGAAAACGAACAGCATAAATTTTTACAAGTATATTTTATGGGTGACGAAGAAATTGGGGTAGACCGTCGCTGCCAATTTATCCAGGGAGTTGTGAGAGACACAGTGTTCAAAGTTCAAAGATTCTTTCATGAACGTAACATTTTAGTCAAAAGATTTAAAACTGCTTTAGAAAACCTACCTGAAGAGGATTATAAAGTCGTCATTCACGCAGATCGGACCCCTCGAGGAGAGCATGAAAGGCGCTACAATGCATCTTTGATAAACAAAATAGCAGCCGTAATTAGTGGTGATCAATTTTCTTCACGAGACATTGTCTTGCGAGCACGTGATGATACGTTGCAACGGGTAGCCGATACACACAAGTTTTATGAAGCTCTGCAATACTCATTGATTTATTGCAAAGGACAAGAGGGTTATCATTTTCAAATTCCACTCATTAACCCGGTCACAAAGGAGTCTACTCCGAACAAAAAAGTATCATGTATGAATTTTAATTCGTATCATATGATGTTGCGAGAAAATGATTTTAACCTCTTAGCCCGGTAGACAATTATTTCATACATTTTTGGTAGACATGTATGTGAAGTTAGAAAGTGAACGTCTCCGTTATATATCTTTAAATCAAAAAAAGCTGCGCGTTGAGAATTATATACATTTACAAGATGCAGTTTCTAGCGACGCCAATGTAAACCTCAGAGATTTAGGTAAAATGGTAATTCTGCCCTCATCATTCGTTAACATTCCTCGCTACCTACATGAGCACACACAAGACGTATTCGCCTATGTACGAACTTACGGAAGACCTGATCCCACATGGAAAGAAATAACCGAGGAGCTAATGCCGGGCCAAAAAAGTACTGACAGACACGATTTATTTGCTAGAGTATTTAGATTAAAGTACAAAAATTAATGTATGTAATTAACAAAGGGAAAATTCTCGGAGACGTGCAGTGCTTCATGTATTCAATTGAATGGCAAAAAAGAGGATTACCGCATGCCCACATTCTAATATGGCTTAAAGAGAAGTTGCGGCCCAGCCAAATAGACGACATAATAAGCGCCGAGATTCCGGATCCTGAGCAAGATAAAGAATTGTACGATACCATCGTCCGAAATATGATTCACGGTCCATGTGGAGCACGAAATTCAATATCGCCATGTATGAAAGAAGGAAAATGTACAAAGAAATTCCCTAAACAGCTGTTAAAAGAAACAGTGCACACTGACAATGGCTCCCCTTTATACAGACCCAGAGCTCCCGAAGATGGTGGCAGGAAAGTTACAATCAAATCTCGCTCTGGAGCGTTCGAAACCTTAGATAACAGCTGGATTGTCCCGTATTCGCCCATTCTAAATAAAATCTTTAATGCCCACATTAATGTAGAAGCATGTAGCTCTGTCCGCGCAATCAAGTATATCTGTAAGTACATAAATAAAGGAAGTGACCAAGCAATATGGTGATTTCCGGATCTCGACAACAGCGCCATCTACCGGGTCCAATAGAGTTTTTATACCATCTAAGAACCCACTCAAATACACACAAAAAATTATTAAATTCATTCGAGTCGTTTTCGAGTTTTTAGTTTTAGCTTTAGTTTTGTTTTAGTTTTAGCCTTTGAGTATTCAACCAACTGGAGAGGCCATGCGCGTTAATTCCTAAACAAAAATTCTGTCAACATCAGTATAATTCACTGTATAATTAACTACAAGTGCAAAATTAAATCGTGTCACTATAAACGCACACTACAACATTTGTGTTTGTGTTCATCGCGTTTACGCATACCATCAAATCGTACACGTGTCGATACACTGATAGCGCTGGCCGAATGCGTAAGCAACGTAAGGCGTGGACTATGTCGATATTTTTTATCGATAAACAAATCACCATAGTCCGCACAAGTTTTTATTTGATTATAAGTAGCTCAGTGGTTAACGCTCGCTGTAAATATAACAGAACGCGAGTAACCCGGACGGGGTTCGATCCCCGCCGGCACCAATGAAGTTGTTAATTGCAATTTTAAGTGCTGATTTACCACGTGCTCGGCGGTGAAGGAAAACATCGTGAGGAAACCTGCATGTCTGAGGAATAAGAAAAAAAATATTTCGAAGACATGTGAAGTTCGTCAACACGCATTTGGGCAGCGCGGCGGACACTTCCTTGCCCTAAAACCCTCTCAGAAATGAGGGGAGGCCTGAGCCCAGCAGTGGGACGTATATAGGCTGTAACTTTACTTTACTTTTATTTTATAAGTAATACATCGATAAATAATACCAAGGTGTTATTTGAAATTCTTTTTTTATAGTATTTAAAAATGATCTTCGGAAAAGAACTTATAAATTATTGAAAGAAACTTTAGTCGTCGATGGTGTGTCTTACCTGGAATAGTGGTGTTGGAAGTAGTCGTGCCGGAAGTAGTGGTGCTGGGACTAGTGGTGACGGAGTTAGTGCATGCAATTGAGGGATGGCGGGAGGTGCTCTTCACTCTAGGTCAGACACATCATTGTAATTAGTTAGCGGAAGGTTGCAAAGTAATAAATTATTTATTATAATAGATTTCCGCAAAGTAACGCCTGATTCTATCAAGAAACTTTATTATTTTGCTACAGGTTTATTTTACATTATGCAGAATAAAATTTAAAATATTTAACAAATCAAAATAGGAGGTTTAGTTAACTTATTTTAAAAATCAGATTTATGAAAAGAAAAATCCTATCAGTTTATCATCTTAGATGGTGTTAACCAAGTTTTTGTTTTTATTATAATGCTTCAATCACAAAACCGCTATTTCTAAAAATTTGTTGATTTTGAAGAGTTATTAAATGAACTATCTGGAAAATATTTTATAAATAGGAAAATAAAAAAGTTTGACGCTGTGTAACAGTTGAACAAATTGAACTTTAACTTACAGACAGCTGCTTAAAAATAAAATGTGACATCTACCTAAGGCTAAGTATTCCCCAGAAAGATGTTTTGCTAAACTAATGTATTTGTTATAAATTAATGGCCGACGACTTGGCTACACAAAAAAAGCGTTAACTGTTTTAAAACTTAGACTAGAGAGTAACCCTGACAAGAAATTGTATTGTATATTAGTGATAGATGAAATGAAAATAAAACAATTGACGGAGTACTATGCAAGTTCTAAAAGACATTTTGGTTATATACATAATGCCTTTGGTTACCAGCATGGTATTCCGTCAATTGCCTAATTTTCATTTCATCCATGACCAAGGTGCAATAATTTTCTCTATCGGGGTTACTCTCCGCTCTCAATTTTAATGCCGTCAGCGCTTCTTGAGTAAACCCTGGTCCTGTCCCTGGTGGTGTATCACTTAGTCAATGTCCGTGGTGCAGGCAAACATGTTCCAAAAGTTTTACGTACATAGCGATAGGCTTTTGGTGAGTAATAGTTAAGGGATAGGGCAAAGATTTCTTGCAAACTTGTGAAGCCTGTTTATGCTATTGTTTTTTATGTCGAGGCATTTTTTCGGTTTAATTTTCTTTGGCCTAAGTGTTGGCTCGTACTCTTAGTGCCGATTTCACCAACGACGTCGTTGTCTAAGATTAACTAACCCGAGAATAAAGATATTCCGTACTTTTACTCTCAGATAACTTACAGTACATTTCACCATGCAAAACAACAGATTAGTTAGCCTCAGATTAACTATTCTTTCGAATAACGGTTTTACTTATCTGTGGAAGACTATTTGAATGAGCAAGTGATTGATTGTATAAAGAAAACAAATTAAGTATGTCATTGCTTTCCTTCTCGACGAGGTACAAAACAAACTTTTTAATTTAGCAGGGTTATACGTCAGTTTGAAGCAAATTCGTTTTCATCAACTGTTGATACACGTTGTATTTTTCCTCGCTTTTTTGTTATTTCAATATCAATTTTAATTAATAATGTCGGACAGAAAACGCAGTCCTAACTGGCAAATGTCGGAAAAGATGTTGCTTGTGGATTTAGTGGCTGAACATTTCAGTGTAGTAGAAAATAAGCGTACCGATGCTGTTACTATGAAACAGAAAAATGCGGAGTGGGTAAAAATATCGGAAGAATTTAATTCCCAAACCACTTTTGGATATAGGACTGCAGAAAACGTAAAAGCACAGTGGGAAAGTCTGAAAAAATCCACCAAAAAAGAATCGTCTGCTGAAAGGCAAAGCTTGTTTCAAACAGGTAATAATCTTCATTTCTACGTGCTACTTACGAATCTAAAGCTGTAATTATTGATACCATGTTAACACCTATGGAATTTTTGTGACATCCTTGACATTACTTTGTGTTTTAAATCTTTAATGTTTAATATTTTGTTCAGGTGGCGGACCCTCAAAGCCTAAGCTTGAGGACAACCCGCTATACAGAAAAATCTTTGCTTTGATATCTACGACGGTAGTTGGACTGGTAAATGAATATGACAGTGATAACATGAGTAATAATCATTTTATCAATGAAGAGATTCCTAGCAACACATTGGCTTCCACTAAAGGTACACTCAATTCGATATTTTGGTATAATTGTTGATGATAAGCTTAATTGGGCTCCACATATTTCTTTTATTTCTAACAAAATCAGAAAGTTTATCTATATCTTTAAGAATTTAAAAACAGTTGCAAACACAAATCTATTAATACAAACATAGAAAGCTTTGTGCCAGAGCGTTATCAGTTATTGCATGTTCTTGGGGATGCGCTGCTAAAACACATAGAATTAGAGCGAGCTCAAAGGGCTGTACTAAAAGCTATTGCTTCCTTATAGATATTTGACAGATGTGGTATATAAGTTAACTAAATTAGTGTTCGTAAATTGTTTATATATCAATGTCTTAGACGCTTTCATAGATGTAGTGTTCTGCAAATACAAAATTCAAAAAGAACTGTACGTATAAGTATCCCCAAAGTTAAATCCATATTCTGCAAAAGGAATTATAATTACATAGCTCCCAAGTTATACAATATACTAAATAAAACAGTGTGCACAAAAAAAGGCTTCAAATCATACATTTAAAAGAATGTATATAACTTTTTTAAAAGAATGAATATAACTGACTTAAAGAATGTGACTATGTTAAATTCGAAAATTTAATAGCTCCATATGAATAACTATATGTGCAGTGCAACAAACACGCTACTTACACACACACACGCATGTATATAGTGTTAACTGAGTAGGAGTAGAAGTCAGTTCCTTCCCATTCTTTGTGTCAAAAGTACATTAGAGAAATGTTGACATATATTTAAATGTCAACGTTTCTCTAATGTACTTTTGACACAGAGTTATTGAATGGGAAGGAACTGACTCCTGAAATACAGGGTATCCTAGTTTGGGAGTCAGGGCTCTATGATATATGAAATTATAAGTGTCAAATAAAGAAATATTATTATTATTATTACACAGTTTTTGACTGTCTTTGACTTAACAGCATCACTTAAGTGATATCTCTAAATTTTATTTAATAAACAATGTTATTTTATCAATAATGTGTTTTTTTTTTCCAGTTCCAGATGTAACAGACATATTTGTTGCTGCTCCTATATATTCCATGTCCATGCCTCTGTCAATGGATATAGATACAAGCGGACAAAATGATGATAAACCACAAGGAGAAACAGCTGTATGTAACCTAAAAATTAATATTAAAATAGTATTCTAAAGTATTTCTTCTGAATTTTTTGTTTAGGTACTTAACCCATTAAAAGTCTATTATGTTAGTAATTTTGTGAAAACATTACAAAATTATTTTTATTTTGAAGGATTGGGGAGACTACACTCCAAAACTGCTGCAAACTCCAAAATCTGCCTCTACGGGCAGTGAGTAAGAGAGAAGAGGATGTAGGGACTTCTCCTACTCAAAGTAAGAGTTGGAGTTCCAAGCGCAGACCGGCTCTACCATCTTCATCGTTAGAAGAATACCAAAAAATAAAAATAAAAGCTACCGAAATGCAGATGAATTTTGCTGCTGAAGAGAGGGAAGAAGCAAGAAAAATGTTTGAGATAGACATTAAAATAAAAAATGAAGTATTAAAACAGGAGAAAATTAAAACTAATATATTAATATCACAATTAAGGCGGAGAAAACAAAAAAAATTAAAACTATGACTTAATAAAAAAAACATGGTTTCATTATTTAACTTTTCTCACAATAAACTATATAAGATTCCTAAAGTGATTGTTTATTAGGAGTTCTCTGGCTCTATTTCGCTGAGTACTTGATTGTTCAGACCTTATTTGTCCATTTTGTAAGAGCGCCTCCCAAGGTGCTGGAAGGACCAAATCTGGATCATCAGGTGGAACTGTTTCTCCTCGTTGACGCAATATGTTATGCAGCACAGCCGTTGCCATAATTATAACCAAAGCCTTGTCTAATTTAACTCGTAGTCCCAAAGCTAGTACTGGAAATCTTCGTTTCCAAACCCCATAAGACCTTTCAACATTATTTCTTGTCCTAATCTGTGACTCGTTGTACAGTTGCTCTACTGCTGTTCCAGGATTCTCTAGTGGAGGCATAGAATAGGATGTAGCAGCATATCCACCATCTACAAGTAGAATTCCTTCACCATAATCACCAGCTTCAAATTTTGCTTTACGGCAGCAATTATTAAATATAGTACTGTCATGTGCTGACCCAGGCCATCTTGCGACAATATCAATAATTTCCAAATTTGCATTACATATAGTCTGGACATTAATAGAAAAATAGCCTTTTCGGTTTCTAAACAGTTCTGCCTGATCCCCGCCGGGTGAAGAAATTCTGACATGTGTGCAGTCCATTGCCCCTATAACTCTAGGGAATCTTGCTATACCATAAAACTCCCTTTGATTTCGCCGAATTTCCTGTTGAGTATTCGGAAATTTTATGTACTCATGGTTCAATGACGCTATCGCAGCACTAACTCTATGTATTATTCTGTGTGCTGTAGGTGTGCTGAGCCCACTAAAATCACCGATCGTTAATTGTGAATTATTCGTAGCATAAAACCTTAGTGTTGCCAAAAGCTGATTAATCGGAGAAATTGATTGATTCCTGTAAACCAAAACAGTTTTATTTTAGAGCAATTCATTGCCGTATTACATATTAAATATACAGTATAAATAGGTACAAAGACTCACCTCTCAGATATAAATTCCAAATGATCTTCAATTTTGATCAAAAGATTATGAGCTGCTGATTTAGATAACCGAAATCTTATCCTAAAGTCTTCGTCATCATAGTCATAAAAATAATTATTCCTTTCTTTTATCCACCTTGGACGTTTTACAACATAATATGTTTCATCTTCACTATCATCACTGTCACTGTTGTTAATCATTCTTCTCAAACGTTGCATTATGTATAGCTATATACTCTCAATAATAATTAAACTAAAAATGTATTAATCAAACAGCAATTCAGGAACAAAAAACTTGGACGTACACGACAGACTATTAAAAATGTCAAGTAATTAACAGCTGACAGCCTGTCGGCCATTTTTAACCGAAGAATAACTCCGTAATCCTTTAAAATCGGGAGTATAAATCTTATCTCTTGGTTAACTATTTATTCTTGGGTTAAATTGTTGGTGAAATGTAAAATTTGATATCCTAGAATAACTTATATCATTACTCTTGGAATAAAACTTATCTGAGTTTGGTGAAATCGGCCCTTAGTGAGAGTAGTTTGGTTTTTATAAAGATTTTTTTTCGAATTGTGACTTTCGAGACAACTAATGGAATTTTTCCGGAATGTCCAGCTTTCTTCTTTTGATGTTGCTGATGTGCAATCACCACGATCACCCTAAAATAAATAATTTACTAATTTACTTAAGTAAGTCAGAAGATTCATATATATATATATATATATATATATATATATTAAATTTGATAGATTAATTCTTTTGTAAACTTAATAAAATATTTTCAAGTAGAACAATATTGGGGTCACAAAGGTAATAATAAAAATATTTAATCAAATCTAATTACAGCCAAACATTACCGTGAGGTAATGTTTGGCTGTAATTAGATTTAGATTTTGTGAACAAGTTCATGGTTGGTACTGCAGTGTCAGCTAAGCTTCTTTTGTTGTAAGCTTGGGGTATGAAATATGATTTTTCAAAATGTTCGGAGCAAATGGTGCTAGTCCGTTTGGGTATCCAAGATTCATGGTTTCTACAACATACAATCCAAGTTTGTCGCCTAAAAGGATCCTTTCGAAATCTGTAAAAACAAACCAATAATAGAAAAATTTACTAGTTTTTGTACTGTTTTTACTGTACAAGCTAAATATAAACTACAAACCGGTTCGGCAGACAAACCCGAATGGTTAACTAATTTATCGATAGCTAAAGTTGTGGCGTTCATCACTATAGTGCAATACTTTCGGTTGCAGTGATACCAGTTTATTTTTATAAAAATTGCACGCTTTTGCTGCGAAGTAGCAAGTTTCGATTTGACTTATTTGGCATTTATTTTGTATAATATTTTAATAAATACTAGTTATCGATTATGTTAAATTATATAATATTCAGTATTGTTTTGAAATTGTGCTGAATATATAAATCATTTAACAAAATCCACTACACATCTATATGTAGTGATTTTATTCATCACAAACTAATTTAGTTATTAAGAAATATATTTTCGTTAATATATTTAACTTGTGTAGTAAATTATATTTATTTAAAAATAGATTATTTTTCACTTCATGAACTATGATGGCCACACTTGGTATTGGAAGAAAATATTCACAAAGTACGAGTTTTAATGATAAAATTACTTTAATATTATGTTAAAAATACTCATAGATGAAAAGTCACATTGTCCTTTTGTGTACTTGACGTTTTTGATTGTTTTTTTCATGTAAATACACTGCAATTCGGCATTTTGTCGGAGCTCGATTTACTGGCACGATCACTTCGGAATGACGCACGACCCGGAGCAACTAGTTTTATATAACGAGTATGAGTCGGACTCTCGTACCTTTTACAGAGGGGTATGCCTTGCGATGCCGTCTCCTTTGGTTTAATACTCGAAGGTTTTAGCGAACAGAAATTTTTATATATGAGCAGATAAAATATTCACCTTTTTATATTAATACTGGCTGTTCCCCGCGACTCCGTGCGCTTGAAATTTATTACGAATTGAATTGAAATTGAATTGAAAAAAAATTGAATTCCATTTGAATTTCTTGTGAAGACCCCAATTCTTTTTCGAAAATAAAATTGACTAAGTGAGACTAAGTTACTCGTTATAACATCAGCTATCTGCCAGTGAAAGTCCTAACAAAATTGGTTCTTCCATTTCGGAGATTAGCCGGAACAAACAAAAAACAGACACAAAAATTTTCAAAATTGTTTTTTGTTTTAAAAATATTTCATATAGCTTCACTTTCACCCGCGTATAGCACGTGTCTGCGCCGTGCGACATGACATGACACCTCGCTTATTTAGTTCAATCATTTTAGCTAAATTTGGCAAAATTAATGTAGTACTTTTATCTATCGGCATATGTACTTTATACTATCCACTCTCTCTCTCCCCCTTCCGGATGAACCCCAGAACTTACTGGACCAAGACGCGTTTTTTTTCCAGTTTTAAAGATAACTGTACACGGTGTATGTAAAGTGTGGAGGTACGAAATGATCCTTGATGAATTTTCTATCAACCTTTCATACATACGAAAGCGATATCATTGATAGTTTTTTTCCCAATCTGCTACAAAATACGAACATTCCTTATTTCTTTAATCATTTTTTTGCTCAAAGTTTAGCTTTATTAAAATTTCCAACTTTACCGTCAAAATATGTATGACTAAAGTAAATAATAGAATATGCTCTTTAAAAAGAAGTACAAATTATTTCTAACTCTTTCATTATGATAAAACTAATTATTTGAATAAGAATTAGTACTACGATGCTACTGTAATCGATTTTTGTTTCGACCGGTGATCTAATGAAATTTTAGAACACAAAAGCTACTATTGTGACTTAATTATGATAGTTAGATATATTCCTTACACGGACTTTTTTTGCAGGTAATAATGAGTACTTTAATCACGTAGCACATGATTTTTATGTAACATCAAGTTTTCTGAGTGCACCCCAAATAAAGATTTTATAGGCAAAATTTTGATACTTTGGGTTATAATTTTCTTAAAGATCTCCTTTTTTTGAAAATAAATTATAGCCTATTTTTTTTTAATGTGATAATTCAGCTTTCTATTGGTGAGAAAATTATTAAAATCGGTGTAGTAGTTTCGGAGCTTATTCGGTACAAACAAACAAAAAAACTTTCATCGTCATAATATTAGTATAGATAACGAATTTTTTTGTTGTAATTTTTTATTTTATTTTTTGTTCTTTTTCAATTTTTATTATTTTTTATTAGAAATATTATTATATTATTTGTAAAAAGATAATATCTACAAATCGTAAGCCATTAAATTTATTAGTTCAGAGCTTCCCTGTAAACGATATTTGATGTTGTTTTATTTTGTGGCAGCAAAATATCCTCGGTAAATGAGGTAGTTGATCAACTAATAGGCCGGTGATGATGGTCGCTACAGTAAAATTTTCTTAATAAGTAGCCTTATCCCATTGTACGTGCTCGGGGGGCTTAAATTTCTCAAAACCATGATTGGCGTTCCGATTTTTAACGTCAATGTGGTGGCAGTCCAGAGGGGTTTAGTGAATTTAAAAATTCCTGTGGGTAATAGACTGCGTCTTTGATATTGGTCACGGTGTAAATGGATTTGTAATTTTTTATTTGGTCGGGGACTTTAAATAATCAGATTGTTTATTTCTTTGACAGTATCATTCCTAGGTGACACTATTGCTCCAGAACAACCAATGAAAGTCCTTTCGTGCAAATTCTCGATGTCACGGTATACTGCATCTATTAAAATTTATAAATTATGGACTACTTGGCCTAGAGACTCGTCCAGAAGGACGTCACAATTTCTGCTTAAATTAGGAGTGGGAAAAATATCTTCCCCAAGTTTTAGCAGTTGTTGTGGAAAATCACTATCTGTGATTCCATGAATGTGACCGCTCATATTTGTTCGTAATTTTCGGAAATCTCCTGCAAATAGTAAAGTGATCCCGCCCTTGAGAGCAGAGGAGTTTCTAAGATCTTTTAAGGTTCTATCCACGGCCTCTATATGTGCTCTATGGCTCTTTTTTATATTTATTTAAGGCAACGAACAGTCATGTAAAAAATAGATAGTAACATGGATAAATAATAATATAACTAAATACCTATAGTGCCTGTTGCGGCAACACCGACTAATAATCAGCAGTATAAAACAAGGCGCCAGAGGGCGCCGAGGGCGATCTTACCATTGTACCGGAAAAGATATCAACAAGGCATTAGATCATTTTTACCAGCGACCGAATTTTATTTCATTTTATTTTGTTACGTCCATTTGTAAACAGCGCATTTAACTAAACTTTTACAATATTTTAAACTTATTGAGCCATTTTTAGGACTAAAGGACATTATAAATGTATTTATTTATTAATACACTAAGTTCTAAAATGAGGTAACTAGTTAACATTTCGTGTGCAATTAAGGAAAAGAGAGAAAGAAACCTATGTTAAAAATGTGATTATTATAACACTGACAAATTTAATTCAGATGCAATTAGCGAATTTAATGCTGCAACATTTTCGGTGATGGGTTATTTTCACTATTATTCACAAGCCAAACTTTGAAAGAGAGCAGATTTAAGCTTTGATATTGATGTATTAAATAAATCAATATCTGTGAATTTTTTATTGTAAGTATTAGTGGAACGATACACAAATGAGTTACGTGTATAATTTTTATGATATCGGGGAGTTACGAAAAGTGGTTTTGGACGTGAGGGGCGCACAGGCAGACGGACTCTGGAAACAAATGACAGCTAAGTAACAACGAGGAGTCGACTAGGTCATTAATAATTTTGTATAGAAACACTAAGTCAAACATTTTACGCCTATTTCAAAGAGAAAGTAAATTGTATTTTTTAGTGAATCGGTGTATGGCTCATTTAAAATATTTTGGCCATAATTTAGGGATATAATAAACAGTTTTTAAACTTTTTCTATTCTCCTTATATGAACTTCATAACAAGGGCTCCAAACAGTGCTGCAAAAATCAAGGAAAGATCTGACAAAAGAGAAGTATAAAATTTTTAGAGTTTCGGGACGTTAAAAGGGTTTACTAATTCGTAGTATAAAACCTAGATTTTTAAAAGCCGAAGCTAGTATGTGCTCAATATGTGGAATAAATGATAAGGTCGAATCTATGACTATGCCTAAATCCCTGATTGAGGTTACTCTATTCAAGGCCTTCTGATTTATGTGGTAGTCGTAAGTAACGGGATTTTTTTGCGAGTATACGATATTATGTTGCATTTATCGCTGTTTAGGAACAGATGGTTAAACTCACAGTATGCATGTAATCGGTGTAAGTCTTCGTGGAGTTTGTGGCACTCAGTAATTGATCTGATGATTCGATACAACTTAGTGTCATCAGCATACAAGAGATGGTGACTATGTTTCGGGACATTGCCAATATGAGACCCTTGAGGCACATCCGAAGGTACTGGAAGAAATCGTGACGAATAACCCTTTACAAGGACTGCTTGAATCCTATTACTTATGTAGGATTGGATCCATCTAAGGAGGCTGCCATGCACACCGGCCCTTGCAAACTTCTTTATTAGCAGATCGTGATTTATTTTATCGAAAGCTTTGGAAAAGTCGGTGTACACGGCATCCACTTGTAGGTTATCATCCATGGCATGCAACAGAAAGTCATTAAAAGTTAACATATTGGTGTCAACGCTGCGGCACTTAAAGAAACCGTATTGTTCCTGGGAAATGTGATTACGTAACGAGTACGACATTTGAGCGGTTACTATCTTTTCTAGGATTTTGCCAAAGATACAAAGTTTCGATATAGGTCTGTATTCGTCTATACATTCACGTTTCTTATTTTTCGGAAGGGGGGTTACTAAAGACTCTTTCCATAAACTGGGAAATGTCCCAGTTTGGACAGAGAAACGAAATGTGATTGTAATGGGTATTGCAAGTTCTTCGGCACATTCGTATATGAGAACAGGATGGATCCCGTCGGGCCCTGCACCTTTATGAATATTACTTGTTTCAGTTCTTTGATAACATTATCGTGGTAGATGTTAATAGAATGTATATCTACGGCTGAACTACCTGAGTAAGAAATTAGAACTTTGACGGGTAGAAGGGATGAAAACTGAATGAAAATGTTGTGAATTCAGTGGATTTGGGTTCTTTGTTGACAAATGATGAAGTCCAAAGTTGACAAATGTTCGTTTATTCAGCAGAGTTTCAAAAGGTACCTGTCAATATACAATTGAATCAGTATCTAACTTTCACAATTTTAATAAAGAGAAGTATTCAAGACTTTATACAAAAGCAATTTGTTCGTTTATTTACAATTATTACATGTTCTGTGAAAGAAATGTATTAACAAAGTTTAGCACGTGGACGACTAATTTTGAGTGCAAAATTACAGCTTAAATTGATACAAAATGAACATACCTTTTGAACGCTTTGATAATACTTGTTTTGTTGAACAAAACTCTTGACAAACAATCAATGGATTGTTGTTCAATACTTTACAATTTTCAGAATTACAATTTGGAGCACGTTTGCCTTTCACCATCAAGTTTCGCTTTTTCCATAGCTGCTACATATTTATTTATTATTTTAGAGTAGAGTAATATATGGCTTTGTCGCATGAAGTTATCAAAAAGTAGGCTTGCCAACTTAATTACACAAAATATGACAATACATTATTGCCAACTTAGACTCTATATAAAACGAAAGTAAAGTGTGAAGGAGGATAGGATCAAAGTTGGGTTAGGTCAGGTCAGCTGTCAATTGATCAATTCTCAACAGAAAATAATCATTAAAAGACTCGCATATTTCACGGCCAGTGGAAATAATTTTAGCTTTATATATCATTTTTTCGGGAATGCAACTAGAAGCTTTTTTTGACTTTACGAAAGACCAAAATAACTTTGGACAGGCTTTGATTTTGATTTTGAGTAGGTACGTATGTGTCTATAAAATTGTTTAAAATTTTATAAAAATAACTTGTCATTGAAACAATATCCATCATGGTATTAAAAACTATCTCATAGGCTCATGGTGCATTCATCCCACATAATCAATGAGGCGTCTTGTAGTAATTTACCAAGAGGCCCATTTTTGCGGATAGAACATGTAAGTTATTGTTCGAGAGTTACGGATAGCGGAAGTTTAAAAGTAGAATGAGCAGCTTTTCCATCCTTTAAGAGAGTTGCAGCAATTCCTGACGAATTAACTGCTATCGCTCTTTTCCCTGATTGTCGTATCCTAGCAAGTATCAAATGGGGAGCGCGAACTTCGAGAGAGGCATCAACACGGCTGGTTGCTGAATTAACAAATATTTGAAAAGTGAAAAATTTTACTTAAATTACATGGTTAATGCCTTCAATACGAAGTAATTTATTTCAAAATAACGATTACTACCAAGGTACGAAAATGTGGCCTAGTTTTGTACCGGCGTTACTATTCCATATATTAACATGAAAAAGTAGTTATTGTGACATAACTGTAATAGTTAGATATATGATATCGCAGATTATTTTTGTAGATATTGATGTCCTCTATAAAACTGTTATACGCCACTTTGCTCTATTGTCAACAGTTTCCGCAGTGCACGCGATATACGGATTTTTCGGCGTTAAGTATTGCATATTTTAACATGAAAAAGTAGTTTTGTGACATAACTGTAATAGTTAGACATATGGTATCGCGGACGTTTTTGTAGATATTGATATCTATAAAACTATAGTACATCACTTTGCTCTCTTGTCAATAGTTTCTGCAGCGTATGCGATATAAGGATTTTTTTAACATGAAGAAGTAGTTATTTTGACATAACTGTTGTAGTTAGACATATGGTATCGCGGACTTTTTTGTAGATATTAATATCTTATGAAACTGTAGTACATTATGTTGCTCTATTGTCAATAGTTTCCACAGCGTACGCGACATAAGGATTCTTTTGGTATTTTTTCACGCCGTGGGTTACATTAACGAAGTTTTCATACGGATCCCTAACTTTTTTAGATTTACTATAGCGTATGTATGTTCATCAGGGTTAATGTAGGATTCCAATGGTGAAAGAATTTTTCAAATCGGTCCATTAGTTTTGGAGCCTATTCAATTCAAACAAACAAATTTTTCCTCTTTATAATATTAATGTAGATGTAGAAAACAGTAAAACTATAAACTAAGCTAATAAGCGTCTCGCTCTTAGAGCATAACTAAGCAAGCTATAGAACTCGCGTATCGCTTATTGCTCATTAAGCCAAGCATAAGCAGATTACCAATGAAATAAAATATCATTATTCATCTAAGTTTGCTCTCGTGAATCGTTTTTACAGGTTGTTACTGCACATTTTATCATGGTTATTTCAAGTAAATACCGGCGAGAGAAATAGTAGTCGCGTGTGTCGTTTTGTTGCTAATCACCCTTGCAATTTCGAGACTATTCATACCCTTGCTTACTATTCAGACTCGTTAACGCGCGCTCTATAGTTTGCTTATGTATACTCTAAGGTCTCACTCCTTTTCCGCCGATGTGACACATTGATACTTAATATTTTTTATGCTTCAGCTATTCTAATATTGATGAACTGATGTATATAAAAAAATATGTTAAGAAACTCATAATCACGCATGGGGTCGAAGAAGAAGATATTGGAATAATTGCAACCTATTCGAGTCAGGTAAGAATTTCTCGTTTTTGGCCACGAAGCCATCTAATAAATGAAAGTATTTTGGTTAGTACTTACATCCATTGCTTATCTATTACATCTTCATAAGACCGTAAAAGTCTGCATGCTGTGGCCCTCCCCTACTGCGGGAGAAAGGATTTGCCTTAATCATCACGTTTGGCTAGACATTTGTAGTATATCCTTGATGCTGTCGCCCATCGCCGACCTTGACATTTTACGCCTGGCGAAAACTTCATAGTTAGGTATACCCATAGAATACTATAATACATACATAATAGAACGGGGGAGTAGGCAGAGCCCGCGTAGCCACTAAAATGTCACTAATACTAATACGTCAATTCACACCTATAAATGCAACACGAGATGTGTTTTGACCTTACAATCCTTTCCCAAACGATTGTAACGTCAAAACACATTAAAAAAAAAACAAATTTCACCCTATTTACAAATAAATATGTATTAAAATTTAAGCGATTTTTTTAATGATGTTGTTTGAAATTAATCAAAAGTCTAAAATGTTTAAATTTATTTAGTCTGTCAACACAGCGAATCGGGTTTGGCGACGCCAAACCTTGTACAAAGTAAAGTTGACAGCCATTCTATTGTGTATTATAGTATTCTATGAATATACCGCTATCTTTGGAAGCCGTAAGATTTTACTGGCGTTTCCCACATTTCACACAGACACCCACATAACAAAATGGTACTATTCCTACTGGATATTATACTATTTCAACCCACAGCCGGTACTTAAAATTTAATAAGGAAGGTCTGAACGACAAACATTTGTTATTTGGTTAACTGTGAATTCATCAAAATATACCATTTTATATTGCCAGGTTGCATTGATAAAGGAGTGGGTGCAAAAGAACCATTTGAAAATTGACGTGGAAACTGTGGACGCTTTCCAAGGTCAGGAGAAACGAGTCATCCTGATCTCCACTGTCCGTGGAAAAGGCAAACAAACGACTAATGTGAAACTCGGATTTATTACCGATGCAAAGGTGATAATAATCTTTAATATTTTTATCTACATTTCTTCTATACTTTACTATTCTTTAAAAAAAAAGAGTTATTATTATAGTAGCATTTCAGAAATTTGATTGTAACTTTTCTTCTTTGTGCTTGCTTGTTAGTAAATGTTAGCAATATTCAGAAGTCAGAACTAGGCCTGAACATTTAGATTAGACCGGTAACGAAAAGTTATCCCTTAGACGCGGGCCCTTTACTGGTGACAATTTCGATTATTCTTATTAAGTTAGGAGGTTGCTATACAGGAATAAATTAACATTATTGATTTGGTTAGCCTCGAAAGGTCGGTAAAGTCATGGGAGCGGCAAACAGTTTCTTCACTATGATTGATATACAGGATTTTTTCAAAATTCAAATTTGCAGGATATAGGAAAAAAACTAATTAAAAAATCTTAAGCATTCTATCATTTTTATCTTTTAAATTCATAATGCGTGGAAACGCATTGTTTTAACTGACTATCATTCGTTAATATCTAACGCTTACTATTTTAACATGCACGCACGCATTCGTAAGGGTCGCTACGGGAATTGCATCGCACACAGAGGAGCGGGCCTACACGTAATAGTAGCGGAGCCGAGGGTGCTAAATCGGTATTTACTCGAGCGTCAAAGAGACCTATTGGATTGCGAAGCCTAGATGATAAGAAGAAAAAAAGTCATATAATATATACACTTTCATCGGTGGGGGGAGCGGTTATAAACTTTCAAAAATGTAAAAAAAACAGTTGCATGGACATACTCGAGCGCCTCAGATATTAATAGCATCTATGTCCTACGTATTTTTGAAAGCATACGTATGTTAATCTGATTGTTTCCATGATGGGGGTGGTCGTACGTAAGGGTTTCGTTAATCGAGCGCGTTAGATTTTCAAAGGGGATGTTAAGTGAATCTAAAAGAAGGCTCTTATGTAATAATCTGACGATTTGGATGTGACCCACACTCGCGGCCATTATTAGAATATGCAAAAAAAATCGCCATTTTGAAATACTCAAGCGCGTCAGATTAAGATATATATGGTTCATTTATATACCCTAAACGTCATCATCATCATCATCATCATTACAGCCCTTCACAAGTTCACTGCTGAACATAGGCCTCCCCCAAGTAATGCCACAAAGCACGGTCCTGAGCCACCTGCATCCATCGACTTCCTGCATGTCTTACCAGGTCGTCACTCCATCTAGTGGGGGGTCGCCCTACACTACGCCTACCGGTACGAGGCTGCCATTCGAGAACCTTTCTTCCCCATCGGTTATCGATTCTTCGAGCTATATGGCCGGCCCATTGCCACTTCAGCTTACTAATCCGTTGGGCTATGTCGGTCACTCTGGTTATACTGCGGATATCCTCATTTCTGAGTCTATCACGCAGTGAAACTCCGAGCATAGCCCTCTCCATAGCTCGCTGAGCGACCTTGAGCGTCCTCATACGGCCAGCAGTGAAGGACCACGTCTCAGATCTGTAAGTCATCACTGGCAACATGCACTGGTTGTACACTTTAGTTTTCAGAGATTGAGGTATACCTGACGAGAAGATGTGTCGTAATTTCCCGAACGCTGCCCAGCCGAGTTGAATCCGTCGATTGACCTCTCGGTCGAAGTTGGACTTACCTAGTCGGACTATTTGTCCCAGGTAAACGTATTCGTCAACAACTTCGAGCATAGTGCTCCCAACAACTACCGGCATAGGTGTGACATGGACATTAAACATGATCTTTGTTTTGTCCATGTTCATCTTAAGACCTATCCTACCTTATACCCTAAACGTGTTGTCTCATAATCTGACGATTATCTGGAGGGATTCGCCTAATCTGACAATGGAAAGAATTTTTTTTTTGTATTTTTTCAAATCTTTTAAGTTAACAAATTAAAGAGCTGAAAAAATAGCATGCAAATAAAACAGTATATATTCTTTGAAGTACAAAAATTTTGTTTATGAGAAAATAAGTATAAAAAATACAATTTTTTTTGAATATTTTTTTCAATCATCATCTTCGTCGGTACTACACTTTACATTAATGTCACTTATAGTAACTTTTTTTTTAAAATTTAATTCACATATGAAACATCAAAATCGCAAAATAATTTCAGGCGTTACAAATACGTTGTAAACAAAATCATCTGCGCGATCAGCTGTCATGGCGTCATGGCAACAGAACCCAAAGTGGGGACGGAGTGAGAGAGTCATAGATAGAGAAAGAGTGAGAGAGGAATAGAAACGCGGGAAGGGGAATACTAGCATAACGTAGCTACACGCATTAAACTTTATCGATTGTTTTTCCTTACTTCGGCTTACGGAAATCGTCAGATTATATATTATTCGTGAACGTTGAATTTTTGCCTTCAAAATAAAAAAAAATTTTGCCACGCTCGAGAAAGTCGAGATGACGTTTTTTACAAGTTTGTAACCCACCTACTTCTTATCGTCAATCGAAAATTGTCAGATTAGTGGAATATACCCTTTTTAGGATATAACTAACTTACCCTACCTTAATCTTACGCGCTCGAGAATTTCTGATGATCAATTTTTTTTACTAATCTGATCCTTTATCCTTGACGCGCGGCCACATGTACGGGGCTAATACTTGGTGGAGGTATTTAATGGGGTACTAGGTACCTCCCTGTATGTTAATCTGCGGCGCTTTAGTAAATCCCAAAATCCCCTCTTGGGCTCCCCTACTATAAGTTTTGCCCATAAATCACATTCAATTTGGGATAATTTCAAATGAAAGCCTTTTCTATTCGTATTTTCAATAACTGCTATAGCGGTATATCATTATTTATATATTTGAACGTAAATATAAAATTTGGATTTTAACAGTTTCATCGGACTCAGACATGACGATAATGATACTGATGATGACATCAGAACATACTACATACACATCAGTATATGGTAGCCTAACCACTGTACGAGTGGTGTGGCTCCCGCCCACGGCATAGTGGCGAGGTGCGCAACACTAACACGTAGGAGTGGTCGTTACAAAACGCAACTAGTTACTGAAACTATCTATTCACACAATAGCGGGTAGCGGGTTATTGCAGTGCAACGAAACTATCTATTACAGTAGATGTTTAACTCAGTAACACGATTCACGTTTCACGAATCACGAACGAGCGATAACCAAACGTTTATTCGGCTATTTTCGCGACGCATCGGCGACGGCTTCGGCTGTTGAAGTAGAAGCACATGAGTAAAGAAACCGACTCTTTACGCTGTGGTAGAAGTACCACCGGTCGTCGAATGTGAGCGCGGGTGCTTTTGCATTTGACCTATGACTATATTCCCTTCGTATAGATGCGATATTAGAAATGAGAAAGTAAGTATGCATGTTTTTAACAAAAAATAGTTCAAATTCCATATTTTAAGTGGCCTTAGCCTGGTTTAAATTAGTCTTGTGTTTAAGTTTAATGACATGGTTTGTTTTTACTTTTCAGGCGCGTTTGTTGATATTTTTTTTTTCTTTTTGTGCAATAATAATAATATTTTTAGTAAAATAAGAACTAAATACAATTGTATATATTATTGTTAATAATAATAATTGTACAGTAATTAGTGTAAGTAACTAAGTGTAAAAATAATACTAAAACTTTATGTGATAGTTATCAAAAATATCTCGAAGTAATGCCAGTGTACTTTAGGACTTTTTTACAAAAGATACTACAACCATGAAGGCCAATATTCTATAAAAACATCAATACTACATGTATTGATGTTTTTCATTTGATTTATTACATAAAAATTGAGCCTGAGAGCTTGAGATGTCTAAAAATAAGCATTGTAATAATTATTTGCTATAAATCAAACTTATATTCAATATTTTATGCTGAACTTGTAGGTGAATTTATTATAATCATAATTATTAAATAAATCGTTTGCCGTTAAATCTTTTCAAGTGATATTTTTATCAAATCGTGCGAAATGATTAAACAAATAAATAAATTTAACCATTAACACCATGTCTAATTCTATACGAAACGGTAACAAACAAGTTTTCTCGTGAAACGGACATCGTTTCATTATTGAAGCCGAAACACTATTGAAGTTGAAGCCGCTATTAAAATAGTGTTTCAAAACCCTCTATTAAAATAGAGTGTTTCAAAAGCCGCTATTGATATTCGATAGATAGTTTCGTTTCGTTACTCAAAAAAGCCGCTACTACCCACCGCTACTAACACGTTCGTTTGCAAATGCTGTATACATGTGTCAATCTTGCATGATTCGTTCGTTTGAGCTGGTACACTGAAAAGTATTGATGGTTCATTCATGTGATTTTGAATGTACCGGTACAACCAATCACAAACAATTGACGGTACCTTTTTAACCCGCGATTTGTTTTAATTTAGAATGAGCCGCATACCGACCGAATCTCGAATGATCTATATAAACAGGCGAATCGAATTAACAATGAAGACTGCAGAGTATCAGGAGTAATTATTATTTAAGGGTTTTTATTATAATATTGTTACCTAAATTAAAAATTATTTTACATTAAATTTTTCGGTTCCGTCTGTGAGATCCATTGGGAAACTTTTCGGTTCCCAATGGATCTCACAGACTCGCATAATACTGAAGCCTGAAATGATCCATTAGAATGATCGATCCGAATGTACCAGTACGTGTAATAAAATGTACTAGAATGATTCGGTCGCTTGAAATGAATGATTGACTCATGTCTAAATGCTGCGCATCCCATTCAATTTGTGGTCCAATTTGTGTGTGTGTGTGTGTGTGTAGCACTAGGTGCGTGCGTATGTAATGTCTGTGATGGGCGTGCGACGTTTGTATCGTTTGAATCGAGCGGAAAGACCCGCTGGATCGTAGCATGATGTCATGTGGATCTAATGTCACAACTCGTTGCTATAAAAAAATATTTGGCACCGAGCTCTACAACGTCCAGATCGACGAAGGTACGTGGCTACGTGGCCAACATCGCCATAATGTAGTTATAGCTTTAAACATTTAGTTAATAAATGTATAAAGCGATTTTTCAATTGTCTGATGGCGCTTATACGACAAATAGCACATAATCAAATTTTATTTTTTTCGTTAGATAGCGATGGGTCTTATTCGACGAATAACCTGAATACCGGAAACAAAGAGACCGGAAAAAGATTGTATCGGTCATTTTGACGATCAGATAACAAATAGGTCTTGGTACAAGAAAAAGCTTAAATTAATCAAATAGCTAGCCTTAGCAACATTCTTGCCGTTTTATAGACTTATAAGCAGTTTATTTTTGCCTATCAAAAAGTTTTCTTAACTTCCAAATTAATGGAAGAATATTCTGGATAAGGAAAAATCTTTAGCTCTCTGCTAATACTTTACGTGGTAGAGCCATGCTGCAGTTATATTATTAGTATAGTTGTAGTACGCATGGGTCGGCTCGAACGGGGAAGGACCACGCTCTCACAGAATACCAGCGTCAAATAGTAGCTTAGTGCTGCTGTGTTTCGTATGGTGAGTGTAGAGAACCGGAGACCCTTTTTTACTGGAAACGAGGCATTCCACCTAAGTCCTCTGTCTATTGTGATGTAGATGTCTATGGGCCACAGCAACCACTTACCATCAGGTGAACTGTGTGCTCGTTTGTCATCCTATCCTATAAAAAAAATTGTCAACGTCTCGGTCGTTAACTGTACGTCACGCAATTGTCAAGCTTCTTTGTTTAATCGATTTGGAGCAAATGATCTTTTAGCCAGTATTGTTTTACGTACGAGTAATGTAAATAAAAATATAAAAAGTAAATTTCATACATTTTGTTGTATTGTTCGAGGGTGTTGTAAGAGGCGATAGTGGAAAACTGAAACAGGGGATGGATGGCAGCATCTTTCTGATAATAGTCCAAAACTGTTGCCAACCCGCTTGCCAACTGTGGCTACTAATGCATATATCCGGCCTATTTGACAAACAATTGGGAAGCTTAGGATCACGGATACGGGGCACAGGCCACAGCGAGTTTTAGGACAAAAAATAGTTGAGTGAGTTGACTCCAACGCGAGACGACCTTCTTCTTCTTCAACTTTACATATACCTAAAAAATGTTAAAGTTAAAGTTACAGCCTATATAGGTCCCACAGCTGGGCACAGGCCCTCTCTCATTTCTGACAGCGTTTTAGGGCGAGAAAATGTTCACCGCGCTGCCCCAATTTGTGTTGGCGAACTTCACAATTCTTCGAAATACTTTTTTGTTTTCTTTCACCACTGAGCACGTGGTAAATCAGCATTTAAAGTTGCAATTAACAATTTCGTTGGTGCCGGCAGGAATCGAACCCGGGTTGCTCGCATACTGTGAAAATAACAGCGAGCGCTGACCATCTGAGCTACTTTGTATACTACAAAAAACATAAACACTCACGCCTGTCACCCAGAGGGGTAGGCCGAGACTACGGACTTCCATTTGGCACGATCCTGAAATACATCTTTGTATACTAATACTATTTTATACCTAAAACAATACTATATACCTAAAAATTATATCTGAAATATTTTTTAACTTCTCAGATATGCAAGTTTCCTTGCGATGGATGTTTTTCTTTACCACCAAGAACGTGTTAAATCGAAACTTAAAATTGCAATTGAAAAATGAGTGGTGTCGGCGCAGATATATGTTTACGTTTGGATCGGTTCGATTACATAGTATATACAACAAAATACCTGATGAAATTAAAACACTACATAATATGAACGTATTTAAAAAAAGTACTTTTATTTGTACCATTGGTTAATTGACAAAAAAATTTATGACACTAATGAATTTCTGACATTTTAAACTAGATTTTGACATTGTAAAACATAATTATAATTTAAATAAACATGTTTAATTTGTTAATTTTAATACTATATCGGTTATCTTGATTTAAATGTAATTTGCATGCTATATTATATTAAAATAGCAAAACATGTGGGCATAATAAGACTCTGAAACATCTGTATAATTACCATGTTTTATGCAAATAAAGACTATTATTATTATTATTATTACCGGCTTATACAGATGACATTCAACATTGCATTAATGCAGTTCTACTCAAAGTTAAAATAAAAATAAACCTGTGTTCAAAATTTGCTTCCGTTGATATTTATAGTACTTCATTAACTCATTTTAGCTATAAAATCGGTATGAATAAAAAAATTGGTATGTCTGAAAATATGTAATCTTAATATAAGACAAACTGTTATAAAAAGTCTCATTAATAGTAAAAAAGTAAAGAAGCAGCTTATAGACATCTTACGACCGTGCATGCTCCTTATTACCCATAATCTGAAATAGTGGTTTTCAAATGTTCACGCATGTTTTTTTAAAACCGCTCAGACATCAAGGTTTCCCGCGAAGTTATTCTTCACCACTTCACTGAGCACGTGGAAAATAAGCAAGTAAAATTTCGTTATAGTTATTCTATTTTACGATGAAGTTTTGACTTTGGTTATTGTTAGTCGTACACATGCACATTGTGTTAGTGTGCGGAGGCCTCGGGAGCGCTCAATCACGATCGGAAGTCGAACGAATCGCAGTTACCTACACACACAAACGCACCTGTCGGTACACTTCACTACTTCAAGGCGAAATCTTCATCGTAAAATATGTAGAATAACTACCGGTTTCTTTGCTCCTCGTGGGAATCGTACTCTTTTTGATTCTGTGCTAAGAAATCTTACGGCGAGCTATAGCTTGCGCCACGAATTATGAAACTGCGCAGAAGCGGTGCGGTGCGGTGCGGTATGAGGTACGGGGAAGCGAAACCATAACAACGGACGACGCGGTATCCAATGTTGCCAACATTAAAATCTAGTTCCCGTTGTAGAGAACACTATAATCCCGTCAAATCCCGTCAAGGACGGTAGACAAGTGTCAATCATTCATTTCTAGTGACCGAATCATTCTAATACATTTCGTCATGCGTACTGTACTACTACTACTACATTCTATTTTTTATTTATTTCTATTCTTCATGTACTACTACATTCGGATCGATCATTCAAATTCGGGCTCCAGTACTCTGTTGAGTCTGTGAGATCCATTGGAAACCGAACATTTTCTATTTGAGATTTGTAATAGCATCTACTACTTGCTATAGGTAATAAAGTCAGTTTATCGAACTAACTCATGACTTTCAAGGATATCACAAGATATGCGACTCAAACAGTAAAGAGAGAGAATGAAATAAATAGAGTAGTTGATAGTTTTCTATATATATTCAACAATAGCGCATCATTTTGGCCGACCAACGAACAAACAATTTCCGAGCTGCATTTAGAAGAATTACGTCAAATGAAAATTTACACTCAACTTTTTAAAGATAAGGATGTATTCCACATTTTTTCGTATTTTTAAACTAAAAAATTAACAAATTTATAATTTAATTTTTGCCACTTCCAAATTATTTCTATTTCGAAAACAAATCCAAAGAAACATAAATTTTTGTTATCCCGTTAAAAAATCCGTTAGCCGTTAAACATAATTTTTCCCGTTGCCAACCTCGCTATCCCGTCAAATCTAACGGGAAACCCGTCAAGTTGACAACACTGGCGGTATCCCTACGTAGTGTCTGCCTGCGTCCCGTTGCCCGCGCATATACTTGTGTCGTTTGCGTAATATCGATATCGAAAGTGTTAGCGACTACCTGTTATACAATATTGAAAAAAGTTGTAAATAAAATAATTTTTCAATAAACCTGGCACTTAAGACTTAAATATTGATATCGGTATTAAGAGTATGCAATATTTTATGAGATATGTAAAAATTAACAAGATCTATTGAAAGATGACTGTAATCATGTAATAAAATAATCATGTAAGGAACAGTCCCGGAAAAAACACATGTTTCTTCATAAATTTAAGTATAAATTTGAAATGAAATAAAAAAAAACAATAACATCTTTAAACACTGTATTTAATAAGCTTTCTAACAATGTATTACACTTCATTATACGTCAAAACAAAAAAAGTTATTAACAATAAAACCACGTATGTCGTCTTGAGACAAAACAGCAATTACAAATACAAAATATTTTACTTCTTTAACTAATTGTATATAAAATACTGAATATTATTTAGCAGCAATTAAAACCTAACGATGATATATAAAAATATCGTTCCGTTTTCGTGGAGACTTTGATGTGTAGTTATAATCTCGACCTTTGACTTTTTACAAATATGTACGCTCTTTTGAAGAACTTGAAGACATTTTAATAAAAATGTCTTCAAGTTCTTCAAAAGAGCGTTGTCGCCATTCTTGAAGAAAAGGACCACCACACTTCAGCCCCACGTCTTCGGAGTAATTGCACCATGGAGGACGGAATCAAAGAGCTTTTGAAGGACTTCAAGTACCGGCTTCCCACCCGCTCTCAGAAGCTCTGCTGTAATTCCATCCTTGCCTGGGGCCTTGATATTTTAAGATGTTGGACAGCCATTCTAATCTCACTCAGATCAGTGGCGAAGCCAATAGGCCTGAGCGAGATTAGAAAGGCCATAGAAGCTGTAAAGCCGGGCTTGCCTTATCAAAACTGAATCAATCAATAATATCAACTAATAAAATAACTCGTAAACTGTTTCAAACTATTTCAAATTTCCCGCGCACTCCACTGTTCGACACAGCACAGGTCACCTCGTATTGCCTTAGCGATACTGCTGCTGTCATAAGAAACGAGTTTTAATAGAGCGATTCGTCGTCTCTCTCGCTCGCGTGGGCTTTTTACGGGGTTTTCGAGGAGACGATCGCTCTCTCTCTCTCTCTCTCTCTCTCTCTCTAACCTATGGCAAAATATTCTATAATGAAATATAACTAAAATTGTATATATAGCAATTAGTATAGAGGGCTTTAGGAATGCGGAGTCGCGCGGGCAATACATTTGCAAGTTCATTCTACATTTCAATATTTATTTACTCTGTGTGTTTAGCTTAAGCGATTTAATATTGCGAGTTGAAAATTTATGCTTTTTTTAAAGGTTTTTAGTGAAAATGGAGGATAATAGTGTTCTTTGTGATGAATTGAAGTGTGTTAAAGTGCTAATCGGAGAGAAAAAAGTAAAATCTTTAAACTTTGTTGAGATAATACACAATGTCAAGAGTGTATTTCCGACTTATCAATTATCGCAATTGAAAAACAGTTATTGGTACAATTAAAACGTATCAATTATCGCAATTGAAAAACAGTTATTGGTACAATTAAAACGTTCACCAACATTTTACGCGGACGTAATTAAATCTTTCCTTAAGAAAGAAAGACAATTCCATTTAGAACGTAAATAATTTTTTTTTTTTTTTAATTTTGTACATAGTTTGTTTGTACTTTGTTCATGTTTTACTTTTGTTCATGTATTGTATTGTATGTAAATATCTTTTTCTTTCGTTTAAACAAACCCAAACGGCTTTTTTCAAAGCCACCGAAGCTAAGCAAGTGCTGATATTTAATACAATCTAGCAGTAGTATGCCTTCTGTGTGCTTTGTTAAAAACGTCCTTGACAGCACTGAATATGAAAAAAAGAGTGGAGACAGATCAAGATTGGTGTATTATAAAACTGCTAAAAACAACTATCTAATTTTTAGCAATTTATATCTTGGGCTTGCCCTAGTTTGGAGCTATAGCTTCGCCACTGTCGTCCGGGATGTCATCGGAATAGTGTAGGATAGGACTCGTTCTTAGATCGTTACTCACACTTGCGTGTGTCTCCAACGATAATGTGTCCTGCTGACCATAGAACCTCTTTATCTCACTCAAAATCTCAGGTGTCCCGAAAACGATGCTGCCACATTCGGTCTTCGGCTTTGACTGTTGCCTCTTTCTGGCGGACAGATATCTGGCAAAGACTGAAGCCCTGGTTCTGCTCAATCGCTTCTTCAATACGAGTCACATCACTGTCAGTTTTCACCCTCGCGATCACCGAGACATCACAGAACAGTTGGCGTCTGGTTGTCATAATGAAGTCAATCTCATTTTTTAGTTGGAGTTCAACCAGGTCCACTTCCTGTGAGGCCGTATCTGAAAGAAAGCGTTCATCATAAAAAGTCCCTCTTTCTCCATGAAATCGACCAGCTGCTAGCTCTTTGGCTTCCGTTGCCCTATCCCAAAATTTCCTACCTTCAGCTCACCGCTCTCTCTGCCATAATTGCCACGCTTGGCAAGCGAGTTGGCAAACACAGTATTTTTTTGTTGTACAAAGTTATTTATTTGAATAAATACATTAATCTTATAAAATAGAATATAATATCTAAAGAAAGGAAAATACTTAACCCTCGATATTTGAAGTTTCTTAATCAGATAAAAAGTAGCCTATGAGTTGCCCCGGTCTCTACCTATGTACACCCAAAATTTTATGGAAATTTGTTCTGTAGTTTTTGTGTGAATCGTGAATACATAAACAGACAGACAAATAAACAAAAATTCCAAAAACCACTGATTTGGTTTCAGTGCCTTTTATTTAGTCCCGTGAATTTGTTTTTTCCAGAAAATGTTATAACTACAGACCCGACTCTCCTATAGATTTATTATATACATAGATTAGTCGTGTCTAAGCCATCTAATGTCTATTTTACGGACCACCTTGAGAATCAATCAATTTTTGTACTATAAAATGATTTTACCTGTAGAATGAAGTAGTCATCGCTACTGCAAAGCAATTTAAGACAAATGTTAAAATTGAGGACCTTGCAGCAAAAGAGGGGCAGATCTAAATTTTAACCGTTACCTTTTTTTTCACCTACATTTTAAACAAAAAAATTAGCTATGGTTTGGTGCATTTAGGAGTCAAATCCGACGACAAACAAGCGCGCTGTAACAAAATTTGGATCTGCTACCTTATTCTGTTTGGTGCAAGAAGGGAGCAGGTCCGGACCTGCCTCCTTCTTGCAACAAATGAAATTATTACATCGTTTGTAAACAAGTCAGTGCACGTTTTGTGCTCGGCCCGAAAGGACATGCGTATTATTCTTTTAAATAATTGTTTTAAGTTTGATACGTTAAGTGTGTATTAAAATGAGTGACACTGAACCGTTTAGTAGCGGCTCGTCAGATATTTACCAGCCGCTTGTCTACGAGTCATGTTCAACCAGTTCAGATGATGATGGAAGCGATGTTGGTTTGTTGACATTTCAAAACCAAACTAATGAGGCGAACGATAAAGGTATGAATATTTTGGATGAATTTAATACAGATAATCCATGCCCATCGACGAGTGGCATAGCGCCGAAAAAAAGAAAATCCGCGAATCCATCACAATGGAAACGGAATGTAATAAAGAAGTCTATTGCTACTGGAAAGGGCTATTTAAACTATAAAGGCCGTGAAATAGGCGAAAGAAAAACTGGACCGGATTGTTGTTGTAAGAAGTATAAGTGTTTTGTTCAAATTAATGAAGAAGATAGGAAACTAATATTGGAAAATTTTAATAAATTGGAAGAAACCTATGTGCAAAACGTATACTTAGGCGGTTTAATTAAAACTGAGAATGTTGAAAGGGAAAGATCTAAAACTGGTACGGGGAAGAAACGGAGTTGTTCACACAAATATTATATTAAATTAGGAAATAGAAATATACAAATTTGCAGAAATGGCTTTGCATCTATCCATGGAATATCCAAAAAGCGTGTAGACAATGTTGCTAAAGAGTATCGGGATCCTACTGTAACTACACCAGCTCAGTCTAATCGTGGAAAACATCAAAATAGACCAAATCGTATTCCAAGTGAATGGGTTTCTAAAGTTGACTCTCATATTAGAAGTTTCCCACGTCGCGAGTCACACTACAGTAGAAATAAAAGCTCACGTTATTATCTGTCTCCAGTGTTGAACATTAAAAGGATGTACGAGTTATATTTGAAAAAGCATGAGCTTGGTCTTGAAGCATCTGCTAAGCCTATAGTATCATTTGATTTTTACTACAGATACTTTAAACAAAATTTTAAATACAGTTTTGGGTCACCTCGTTCAGATACTTGCAAGAAGTGCGACATGCTGAGTAACAAACTAAAAGATAAGACATTGGATAGCGATGAAACCCAAAAAATACAGATAGAGAAGAGTCTTCATCAAGCCAAGGCCGACACTTTTTTTGTTGATTTAAAAGAGAAGAGTCAACTTGCTCTTAATAATGAAGAATGCGAAGTGTTAACATTTGATTATCAGCAGAATATGCCATTACCTAAAGTTCCAGCAGGTGAAGCATTTTATAAACGTCAACTTTGGGCATATAATTTTTGTATTCATTCAGCAAAAACAGGGATTGCTCACTTTTATTTATATGACGAAACCATAGGCCGAAAATCACCAAACGAAGTCATATCTGTTATAAATCTCTACATAAATGACATTTTACCAAGCACAGTTAAAGTACTGTATTTATTTTCTGATAACGCAGCAGCACAAAATAAGAACTCGACTTTAGTTCAGTATCTATATACGCTTATGCGGTGTTCATCTTTTGAGAAGATTGTTCATCGATTTCCAGAACCATGACACAGCTTCTTACCGTGTGATCGGTGTTTCGGCGTAATAGAAAAGTTTAATAGAATGAAAGGTTACATATTTACGACTTCTGAATATGCCGATTGTATTACGCAAGCATCTAAAAATTTTAAAGTTGTAAATGCAAGTCAAAATATGATACTTAACTTCAGCCAACATTATGAGAGTCATTTCAAAAAAGGTAATAACAAATACAGAGAAGATTCGATTCAAAATATCTCAATATCGTATTTTTGAATATAGTAAAGACCACATTGAAACTATTGCAGTCAGTGTTACAACGGGAACGCCAGTATTTGATTATTTTCCTATAATGAGAAATGCTCAAGCCCAACTATCAGTTCTGCCTCAGAAACCGCTGCATGATCATGCATTGCCGTTGAAAAAGGCTAAATACAACGATGTTATGCAGTTGGTAAAGAACTATGTTCCACCAAATAAACTATATTTCTACAGGGCCCTTAAAAGTGAAGCTGTCGGACCAACAGATGATATTTCTAGCGAAGACGACGATGATCAAGCTGAAGTTAACCTTTAATTTTTTTTGTTCAGCACTCATTCGTTTTTGTATTTCTTTTGATTGTTTAATTCTTTGTGGACTGATTACTAATTCTTGAAATAAAAAAATAACCGTGTTTACCTGTTTTATTATCCTTAATACAAAATAGGGTAGTATTTTTCTTCAATCTTGGTGCAAAACGGAGGCAAATCCAAACTTTAAAAAATCGTAGTAATTCTATTACTTCTTCAATTGCCTTAAATCTTGAATAAAATGTGTATATATGTTCATATTATATAATACCATATAACGATAAGACATAAGTACATCAATCAATTTTTAAAAACCTTTTTTTTAAATACCCAACAGTTTTGAAATTTGGACTTGCCTCCCTTTAGCTGCAAGGTCCTCAATTTAGACTCTACGTGTCTAAAAATAAGGATTGTAACATTTATTTACTATAAAATTAAACTTTTACCTTATATTTTATACCGCATTTTTCGTTTGCTGTGCAATGTTTTTGTTTTATATTTCATTCCATTTGAAGGTTTCATTTCTATTGCGTGTTTTTGCTCACATGTTTTTTTAAATAATTTTAGCGATTCAATGTGGCGCTGACTCGGGCCAAAGCGAAAGTTATCGTAATTGGGAATCCATTGTGTCTAAGCGCAGATCCTTTGTGGAACAAATACATTACGACATGTCGTCAATACGGCACTCATTATGGTCATACTCATACGAGTTACGATGACGATGAACTCTCAGAAGCAGTAAAGAAAATAAGTTTAAAGTAGTATCACAATATAAATAATATATATACAATTGTTTTTTTTTTTACTTATAATCTGTACCTGGAAAGTTACAAAATAAAAAATTATAAGTACCTATGTCATTTTCTTATTTTAGTAGCCTTTTTGCCTTTTTACTTTAAAAGTAAGGTAGGTTTATGATATTGGTCTTAACTTCAAACTTTATCAACTAAAAATTCTTTGTTCTAATAAGCATTAAAGTGACGCGTATTAGGTAAGTAATATATAACACGTGAGAGTAATATGATCATCCGATTAATACAGGTTGTTGGTGTAAACACCGTTATCCTTGAAACCAGTGGTTTGGTTTCACTTATAGAACGTAAATTCAATGAATTTAAAAAAAACGCTATTTTCTTTCATAAAATTTAAAAAGTTTCTGTCCGACACCGTCCGGATATTCATGGATACCCTATGCGCCCGAGTGACGTAATCACTGTAAAGATCACCGTCCGCGTTAGCTACCTACACAAAATTCCAATAAAAACACAAAAGGTACACATAACCTGTGATGTAACTTTTCCTTCATACTATCATCCTGGCTTAGGACAGGCAAAACTTGAGGAATTAAGGAAAAATTGAGATTTTACTAAAAAAAGTTGTTTTTCATTGAATTTACGTTCTATAAGTGAAACCAAACCACTGGTTTCAAGGATAACGGTGTTTACACTAACAACCTGTATATATGGTCACATTGAACATGTCACTTTCTTATAACTCAAAAACAACAGTCCTGTTTGCATAGAATTAGCGGTAGGTAGTAGCGGCTTTTTTGAGTAACGAAACGAAACTATCTATCGAATATCAATGGCGGCTTTTGAAACACTATTTTAATAGAGTGTTTCAAAACCCTCTATTTTAATAGCGGCTTCAATAGTGTTTCACGACGTGTTTAATTGAAAAACGTTGCGAATGAAACGATGTCCGTTTCACGAGAAAACTTGTTTGTTACCGTTTCGTATAGAATTAGACATGGTGTTAATGGTTAAATTTATTTATTTGTTTGATCATTTCGCACGGTTTGATAAAAATATGACTTGAAAAGGTTTAACGGCAAACGATTTATTTAATAATTTAAATTCACCCACAAGTTCAGCATAAAATATTGAATATAAGTTTGATTTTATAGCAAATAATTATTACAATGCTTATTTTTAGACATCTCAAGCCTACATTTTTATGTAATAAATCAAATGAATACATGTATTGATGTTTTTATAGAATATTGGCCTTCATGGTTGTAGTATCTTTTGTAAAAAAGTCCCAACGTACACTGGCATTATTTCGAGATATTTTTGATAACTATCACATAAAATTTTAGTATTATTTTTACACTTAGTTACTTACACTAATTACTGTACAATTATTATTATTAACGCTAATATATACAATAGTATTTAGTTCTTATTTTACTAAAAATATTATTATTGCACAAAAAGAAAACAAAAATATTAACAAACGCGCCTAAAAAGTAAAAACAAACCGTGTCATTAAACTTAAACACAAGACTAATTTAAACCGGGCCAAGGTCACTAAAATAATGGAATTTGAACTATTTTTTGTTAAAAACATGCACACTTTCTCATTTCTAATATCGCATCTATACGAAGGGAATATAGTCATAGGTCAAATGCAAAAGAGGACAATGGAGAGACCGGTGGTACTTCTACAACAGCGTAAAGAGTCGGTTTCTTTACTCATGTGCTTCTACTTCAACAGCCGAAGCCGTCGACGATGCGTCGCGAAAATAGCCGAATAAACGTTTTGTTACTGATCGCTCGTTCGTGATTTGTGAAACGTGAATCGTGTTACTGAGTTAAAGTTAAACATCTACTGTAATAGATAGTTTCGTTGCACTGCAATAACCCGCTACCCGCTATTATGTGAATAGATAGTTTCAGTAACTAGTTACGTTTTGTAACGACCACTCCTAGCATAGATGGCTCTGTGATACGAATACGATAGTTCTTCACAGTCAAACAAATAATAAATTCAAAAGGGCGTTTCATTATTGCATTATCGACGCCATTGTGACAGTTGACATTAAAAAAAAATATCTGCCAAAGTCATCAATGTGAATCCACTCACTGAATCACAGAGTACTTTTTTATATATAGGAATTATAATTGTAGAAATATCGTTTTAACGTTAATATAACTTCAAATAAATTTGTCGGTTTGATACACCCGCTATGCCTACAACGCGCAAGTGCATACGCCGCGCGTTACTACGTGACGTGCGACGTTAATAATTATATATATATATATATATATATATATATATATATATATATATATATATATAATCATCCTTTCACGGTAAATGTTGATCCAGTGAGAAGTTAGAACAATTGTTGATCCACCTATTTGACGTGTTTGTTCAGCTCCTCGTCGCACAAACTGATATACTTTGATCCATCCTTGATGCGCGTGTGACGTCGGTGGATCTGCACTGTTTTCAATATACTCGTCAGCGATTTGACCAACATTTGTTGATCTATCAACGGTCAAAAAATCATACTGAATATGATTTTTTTAGATCCAGAGTATAAATAATTTATATGCGACATTTACTTAGACTAAGTGGATCCGGAGCCATAATTGACGAATAGGTACTCGAACACGAAGCGGCAACGTCGCGTTCTGTGTGTGACAGAGAACCCAGTAGGCTACTTCCTTATAGTATAGTGCGCGCAAACGCGCGTGTGTGTATGCGCGTGCGTGTGTGTGCGTGCGGGTGTGTGTTCGTCTGAGTGCATGTTTATGTGTGTATGTGTATGTGTGTGTATGCGCAGAAAACGGAGACGTGGTGGAGGCGGAGGTGAATGCAGCGTAGTTTGTGGTGAAGGCAGAGGAGAGGAATTTGTGGTGAAGTCGGAGATAGTGGAAACGGGGAGAGTGGGGTCAGAAGTGGGTCAACCTTAGATTGTGTCGGAGGCGGAAAGAATAGTGACGAGCCGTGGTGGTGGCTGCGGAGGGAGCGGAGTTTATTGTTGAGGTGGAGGGAGTAGAGTTTATGGTGGAGGCGGAGGTAGCGGAGATGGAGAACGAAGGCTTAGAGAGGGATGCGGTGGTAGATGTGGAGGCGTAGGTGGCAGAGGTGGTGGTGGTTGCATTGGAGTGCAGTAAAGTGGGCACCGCGTGAGGGCAAATGAGTCTCACATAAAGGACAGTTGGTTACAGCGAAAAACAGTGTGGCTAGTAAGTGGATATCGACACTGGCCATAAAAATGTTACTACGAGGTTATTCATTTTTCCGAATATCAGCTTGGCTACCTATTGGTGCTAGAGACAAAGTGAAAAGAACTTTTGTTTTGTGACGGTTTCATCATAACTAACAAAACAAACCCAAACTCGGCATACCTAGTTCTACTAGTCCAGGTGTTACAGTATTACTTATCGAAGTACACCTTCAGGTTACTTCAGCAAGACCGGAGGTAAGGACTCATCATAACTAACAAAACGAGCCCAAACTCGGCAAACCCAGTTCTCTAGTCCAGGAGTTCCAGTAGTAATCCCGAAATACATTTTGAGGTCACTCCATCAAGACCGGAGGTAAGGTCTCATCATAATATCTCATGTAATATTTAGATTCTATACCTATCAATTTTGTAAACGCGTCCTTAAAAATCTTGATTATGAAGATGTAGAAAAAGCGCGCGCGCAAACATGCACACATGCGCACACGCACAAACGCAGTCACATAAGCACACTGCCACACACACACAGCACACACACAACAGTGCATACAAGCACACACGTACACACACACGCACACTGTCTACACACACACGTAATCAAAAAACATAACAGTGCACACACGCACACATACACTAACATACACGCGCACGCACATGCATTCAGACGAACACACATGAACGCACATACACCCACACGCACGCGCACACACAAACTCTCACACCCACCGCAAGCACACGTTCGCACCCGCGTGCGCACACATACACACGACACACAACACGCACACACACACACACACACACACACACACACACACACAAACACGCACTCAGACGAATACCTTATGTCGCTGTTACCACTTCCGCTACAAGAAGGGGCATTGTCGAGTTGTTGAGTTATACGTTAAAAAAAGTCGTTTATTTCGACCACAAGGATCATAGATGTTAGTAATAATACAAATCTTAAAAACTAATCTTAGTAAAACTTAAAACTATTTACCTAATTTTAAAACTATATCTAAGACAGGCCCGAT